TACGAGTACTAGCTATCAGCGAGACGCTCGGCCACGAGCAACAGCTCCTCCGTCAGCAGCTGGGAGCCCAGCCCAGCAGCGCTTTGTCCCTTCCACCGATCGTTCCTCCGTCCTCCTCGCCTCCTCATCTCGCGCGAGCACCAGCAGCAAGGTGAGCTGAGCTTCCTCCACTCCCCGAACCAACTGCTCACTTGTCTCGGACCGCGATTGCCCAGCCCCCATGTGCGCGCGCGTTGCGGGGCGGCATTGGGGCCCGGGGGCCGGGCCCGCCCCAATGGTGCTCGTCTCGCGCTGCTCCTACGGGCGCTCCGCTGCATCCGTCGCCTCCGTCCGCCTCGCCGGGAGTTTGGAATTTGGCGCGAAACCCTAGCCCCCTGCCGGAATTCGGGGTGGCGCGGGTCGGATCAGGGGAGCCTGGGTGCGCCCCGAGCAGGGGAATCAGTTTTGAATTGCGCACTGTTGCCGTGCCCAAGTTTGCTACGCGTTTGGGAATTTGGGTCTTCTTTTTTTCGCTCCCGCATCCAACTGAATTTTGTGTTGGGAAATGGAGCGAGCTCGTTCTGGTGGTGATCGGGGCAAAACCCTAGCTTGGCTCGTCGTGCTTTCATCGGAATTTAGAATCAGGGGAGCTCCGTGCTTGGGGGCGCGTTGCCTTTCTTTGCTTGTGATTTTTGTTTCGAATCCTGCTGGCTGCTGCTGTGGCTTACTATGGTCTTGCCTCTGACTGTGCGGTCCCACGATTGTGGGATCTCTGCACTGCACACGTTTACTTTGTAGGTTCTCATTAAATTATCGATTTTGGCACTGGCTGTTCGGTTTTGCTGTGCCGGAAGAGCTCAGAAGACTTCCTTTGGGTTTATGCATAAAAAGGTGGTTAGGGTTGCAGAACTGGATTGAAGAAGCTTCCTATGGTCTTTATTGCGCTAGAGCCTTCTAGCTTATTGTTTCTTCAGCTAACAACTGATCCAATTTTGGTGACATGAGTTTTTCTCCTCGACCTGCTACTCTGCATGGTCTGCACCTTTAGATGTTGCATCAGCTTGTAGCATCAGGGCACGGTCTGAATGTGGAAGGAAGCTCCAGCCTCTGCACACATTAGCTCAATGCTGGGACGCTGATGAAAGCAAATACTATGGAATTTCATCCAGCATTAAGCCTATTGCTAAACCTCCAGCATTATTGTTGCAGAACTCCATAATGACAACCTCCAATTCATGCATTACTTATCTTCTTGTGTACCTTCATTTGCTCTCTGTGGATTTAATGTTGTTGTTTGTTAGGCTTTTTTGCTTGAAAGTGAGGTCCTAAAGTTTCATTTTCATGTCAAGCCTAATCTTTCAATTGATTAGCAAGGTTATGGGACTTAATCCAGTTTTAGTACTGTTCCGTTGGTTCTTAATTAATTGAACCTGGACCAAGCAGCATTTTTTTGCTCTTGCTTTTTTATTTGTCTTACACATTTCTAACATATTTTGTTATTAATTGCAGTTAGTTCTCCTGTTGGTTTATTTGTGTACTGGGGCATATTGGATTGGAGGAGCCAGAAAACTTGAAAACCCGCATATTGGATTGGAGGAGCCAGAAAACTTGAAAACCCAGAATTACTTTGAACTTATATTCATGTCCTGATTGTATGGAATCCCATTTCTAAGAGATGCCATCATCGACACCACCACCACCACAAAATTTTCTCCCACTACCATCACCAGTGGCTGGGCAGAGGATTCGTATTAACCTTGGGGAAATCAAACTAAAACTAGTTAAGAGGATTGGTCCAGAGCGAGCAAAGAAGTACTTTGAGCACCTGCAGAGGTTTTTGTCTTTGAAGCTGAGCAAGACTGTATTTGACAAGTTCTGCCTCACAATACTTGGTCATGATAACATTCAGCTTCATAACCACCTCATTTGCTCTATTCTCCACAACGCCTGCCAAGCAAGTGGCCCACCGACAGTCAGTACACCTAAATCAATTGGAGTTGCCAAGAATTCAAATCATGTTTTAAGTCCTACAGTCCCTGTCTCTGACATTGGTGATGTTCTGCATCATCATGTGAAGGACCACTATCCACAAAGCAGAAATGCACATGTTCTCCAGGAGAATGGTGCTGTGCATTTGAGCAAACTGAAGAGATTTCCGCAGCCTCAACAAAGTGAACTTGTGGAACAACTGTCCAAACGATCATGTGTGGAGAATGCATATTCAAATTTATCTGACTCCACAAATCGCAACTGTCCTGGTGTCTCTGGTAGAGAATATGTGGAAGCGGTTGCACAGCATGTTCGAGGTCCCATAACTGCCCCACTAGGGGTTGCCTTCTGTTCTGGTCATATTGGTCATTTTGGTGGGAATTTGAGAACTTTGACACTTCCCTCTAGTGCTAGCAGTGATGACTCTATTTGTTGTTATGACCTTGGTCAGCTGTGTGATACTTCATCACTGAGACAGCGTATGGGAAGAATAGCAGAAACAGAAGGGTTAGATGGTGTGTCATTAGAATGTGCTAATTCATTGAATAATGGAGTTGATTTTTTCTTGAAACAGCTTATTGGATCTTGTATGGAGCTAGTATCAGCAAGATCTCAGCATGATCGAATAAATCATATGGCACTAAAGCAACAGTTAAGTCAAAAGCTAATAAATGGTGTGCAGCTGCAAAATCAGGTCCATGGTCGAAGTGCCACTACATGTCCACAAATCCGCTCAGTTTCATTGCAAGACTTCAAGGCTCTATCAGAGACAAATCCTCAGCTGCTTGAAGTCAATGCATCATTGGTACTTGAAAAAATGAATTCATATGACTAATCAGTTAGGATGCAAATGGATTAATCTTTCTACAGAGTTTGATCTTTGCCTATCAGGCAAGAGGATTGAAAGCTCGAAATCCTATCTTTGTCACATGCACCATCAGCCAATGGTATGTGGACGTTTGCATGACTCAGAAAATGCATCCAGCTGAGGTTATAGCACCAAATGCGACAATGATGAAGTGTGAGCCTCGCCCAGCGTACTTCTCCACAAATTTCATGTTGACATCCAAGTCCTGACTTGCTTCTGCACATATATGCAGCTGAGGTGTTGCTTCCTGTTTCATCTCTGCTACTCAAAGGATGTTTTGACATTCTTAGTCTCATATGTAGCAGACACCAAATCTTCTCAGCTTGGTGTGTCTCCTATGGTGCATGGTGTATATTTTCATAATTTATTGATAGGCAACTGAAGATCCTGTTCTGGTGAATTCCGCGGCTCACTATTAAGACTGCTCCATCAAAATAAGTGAAGATCTCATAACTTGTAGAGAATGTTGATCATACAAAGACATCAATTTTGTGCTTGTGTTCACCAGTGAGGAGTCAGGACTGTACACAGAACCATGGTGATGCAAGGTGCAAAACAGATTCAGAACTGGGCTTTCCAGCACAAAAAGAAGTTGATCGGTAAGTCTATTGCACTGGTGTGGTATAAATTGTTACATTTGTATTTTCGACTTTCGAGCATGTAGATACTATGAAAATTTTGATGCTTGTTATGTTTTGCCTGTCAACCTCTCAGTGCATTCTTCCTTTCTTTCACAACTGGTAAAAGTTACAAAATATAGTTTGACAAGCCTTACTCTGTGAATATTTGTTCTAACTGTTTCGTTATTGTATTTAACATAAACTGTTTAAATACCCAGTCTCCTTTCTGTTAGGTTATGCAAGTACAAAACATTTGATCCATATCTTGACTGTTTATATTCATCTACAATGGGTTCTATTTTCAGGTTTTTTACCTTTAGTTTGTGTTGTTGCCTGTTATGTGTTTAAGCAGAATTTAAAAATCAGTTTCATTTTGCTCTGCAAGAGATGAAGGGAAATCGAATTCATGCATGCATATATCTATATTGGAGATGGCCTTGTCCTGCAGTATGTCTTCAAGCTCCATATTTCTTTCCTTAGATATCCATGTTGCATCTTTTGAACTTCAAATTAATCAGTAATATGGAAGTAGAATAATTTTAATATCATGGCCTTCACTTGCTAAACTTAGGCGAACATATTGGAGATGTAGCGAATGCAAATTCATATCTAGGTGATCATGCAAACTTATAATGTGGCCAATTGGAGTGCGTTTAGATGGACTAGATTTAACTCGAGTGGGGAACCACATCGTTCTGCATTCATAGGGGTGAGTGTGCATGTGTTGTTCGTGTAATCGGGAAAAAAACAGCGACATGAGTTTGCATGACCAATTGGACTGTTAATTAACATATACACATTTTTATGACAATGATATTCAGAGAGTATAGAAAGAAATTAAACATATGAAGCTCAGTATGAATCAAGTCAAGATTGTATTAATCAATAGTGAACCAGATTGAAATGGATCAAGCACAAAAATTTTGCATGACCAATGGATTTCGCTGGATAGCATGTTCAACTCTGAACCAGTATAGGCACACTGAAGTCACTCACTCCATATATTGGGGCTAAGTGCAGAAAATGAAATTTGAAAATTTTGGAATTGAGAGATGCAAAATATTTGGGTTGGGCAAACCTTTAATCCGTAGGGATCCTTATGGGTGCAATGTCTGGAGATGAAAATGTGCTAGTAGTTGGGTGCCTTTGGTTAGAGAATTTGGGTTCATGTGAGACCCTCCCAAAACAATCTTTTTTATTTTTTATCACAGAAGCACATGTACACTAGAGCTTGGACAAGTTACAGGTCCTAACTTGTAGAAGCGTTATCTTTTTCTTTTTGGTTCTTGAACATGTAGGAGAGCTGTGTATCACTTCATTAAAAAGAGAAACAGGAGTGATAGGAGAAGTGTCATCAATATTCATCGGCAATTTTCAGCCACTTCCAGAACAATAACAGTCACATTAATGAAATGAAACATATGAACTATCCACCTACACAGTTGAGTACATATTTTCATGAACCAGAGCAGTCTTTTACTCTGCAATATGAAAAGAAGGTTTGTTACTATGGTTCCGTCAGTGCCTCACATCTGTTCTCACTCTCAGCCAGACATGGCAGTCTCAAATCTCCCCACCAAGGCCATTACCTTGTTCTTCCTTTCCTGGATAGGCTTGCTCCTGCCCTCCTCTGTAGCTTCATTGCTCCTCCCTTCATCCTTCCTCCACTTCTGTGCCAATTCCACGGTCTTCGTTGGCTGCATTATCTTCTCCTTAGTTTTGGCCTTTTCTTGTGCAATCAGTTCATGTTCAATAACAGCATCCCTTAACTCAGTTCCACTAGCAGCTTCTTTTAATGCAGTTTCACAATCAACTTGCTTTAGCTTGGCTTCATCATTAGCTTCCTTTGATTCAGTTTCACTGGCAGCTTCGTTTAGTTTGGTCTGATCAACAGTTTCATTTAGCTCAGTTGCACAGACATCTTGCTTCAACCCAGTTTCATCAACAGCTTCCTCCGATTCAGATTCATCAACTGCTTCTTTCGGGATGTTTATATCACTGTTTCCAATATAAGCCCTGTCACCTGTGCTCAGGTCTTCATTGTCCTTTCCATCATGTTTCTCCTCCAAAATGTCCCCTGTGTTCTCTTGATTCTTGTATTCCTCCAGACTAGAGGATGTCTTGCTATTGAGATCCACAGATTTCAGATCAACAGGGTCAGGGAGCCGTTCATGCAAGTGCTCCTCTATGGAAGAGGTGCTTATGCTCTCTGTCTCATCAAATTCCATCAACAGCTCAGCATCTTGTTCCTCGATTTTTGGTGTCTCTTTTTGTCTCGCCGGCACACTTGTTGTCCTCTGGATAGAGACATATTTCTCGGCTCCCATTCTTTTCTTTGTTATAGCGCCAGGAGCACGAGTGGAAGATGCAGCTTGAGTTTTTCCAGCTCCAAGAGGTCCCTGCGGTTGTTTTCTGAGATTTGGCTTTACAGAAGATGCTGCTGCCTTCTCAATACCAGGCCTTGTAGAGATTATTACTCTTCTGCATGGTGGATGGTGATTTTGCTGCCCTGGTCATATCCTTAGATGAGGTGTTTGGAGCTGCAAGGGCTGGAGGCCAAACAGATGTGGCACCAGGCTTTTCTGCTTTTCTTCTCATTGTGTTTGTTTGCCTTGCACCAGCCATGGACGAAGCGGAGTGCAGTGTCTTTCCGTGACTGGAAGAGGCTGAGCTAGATGTGGACCGGGATGAGGTCGTGCGAGCGTTGAATGATGATGGTCGACAGGTGTTGGATGAGATTGAGGCGGGGATGGGGATAATCTGCGATCAGGAGAGGTTGGGACGGATCTTGCACGCCGTAGCCCTTGGTCAGACTCACTGGGTTTGAGCCCTGGGGACATATTCTGAATGCCCCGGTTGACTCTAGCATTCTGCTGAGGGTCCCTCCTTGATGTTGCCATTGCCTATGAGCTATTCTGCCAACAAAACAAAATGCACAAATTAATGATGCTCTTAGTCCTCTCTTCCTCTGGGTTATAAACTGCAACCATTTTTATGCCATCATCAGAAAAAGTACTAGTTTGGCATTGTATATAATGTATACAATAATTGGGCTTGACTAGCAATTCAACACGTTATGAATGATTATGCCCTTTTCTGTGCAGTTTCATCTAAGAGAGAAGGCAAATAATTGTGGAATATTGACCGCAAAGCGCAAACGGAGGATGAATAGAAAGGAAATGGCATGGTTCAAGGTAAAATTATGCTGATAATCATTTGAAACAACATAATACTTTTTAGAAGGGGCACTCATTAATTAACTGTTTATTTTATTTGTTTTCCATGCATCACACATCATGCATGCCTATTCACACCTATCAACTGGCGCTTTTCAGATGCAACAGCCGAGAGAACATTGCAACCACACGGATCCAAACTATGCTGCCATTCTGCCAAGAAAGAGGCATACCTCGGCTGACCTCCGAGCTGTTCACACGGACTCCAAAAGCTGATCAATCTCTGCAATCATGGTCAGCAATGGAATAGAGAAGGAAGGAGAATGCTTGCATTGATGTGCCCACTTTTATGGCCTGCCTCCTTCACCTGGAGAATCTAGGCGGTTGCTGTATTGAAATAGTCCGAGGAAGGGCACTGGCTGAAAAGATTTTGTGAATGTTGGCCCTTGTGCTTCCGTTGGCTGTATTCGGTGGGCGGTCCATAAATAGTGAGCAGAGACGTCCCTGGCCTCCATTGATGATTCAAGGTGTGTGGAGGAGGGCACAACGCTATTCTAGACGGCCGGGCAACGGATCCGCCGTTTTGGCTTTTCGAGCCTATTAACGGCGGGCAGCCGGGCACGGTTACATGCGTGCCTGTCTATGAACTACTTTGTTGCTGGCACGCGTGTACCCTGCTGCACATGTTGCATGTTTGACAAGAGATTGTATTCTGTGGCCCTGTTTGTTTTCTACAGGATCTCCTAAAATGTTTAGACATATACATTAGTATTAAATATAGACTAATTATAAAATTAATTATACAACTTGCGATTAATTTACGAGACGAATCTTTTAAGCTTAATTAGTTCATGATTTGACAACGTGGTGGTATAGTAAACATGTACTAATGACAGATTAATTAGGTTTAAAAAACGTCTCGTAAATTAACCTATATCTATGTAATTGGTTTTGTAATTAATCTATATTTAATATTCTTTATTAGTACTTACATATTCGATGTAACATGAATTTTAGAAGCGACTAAAGACCAAACACCCTCATGTATGTATACCGTGTGACTCTGTCACAAGTCACATCACATGAGTTTACCAAGGCAATGTACGGAGTATACTTGTGGTATACTGGTATGGCAAGCCATTGTGTACTCTGTTTGTTTAGTCTTGTTTGGTTGATAAACTATGGCTGAAAGTATTGTTGGCTGATTTAATGTGAGAGAAAAATATTGTTCGTTAACTTAAAAAAAAATACGATTTATAAGTCAAACAAATCCAAAAAAACACTGGTCATCGTGGGGCTCATTCCCTTGTGCTGAGAAAGCATCTGATCTGACCTCTATTCTCGACGGAATCGCAGCTCTGTGTCCTGCCCCTGTTTCGTAGACAAAAGAGTATGTTTTATAATTTAGATTAGAAGTAGTTTTATGAATGCAGCCATAAACTAAGTACTCTCCGTACCTTAAAGAGGGCACGTCTTATTTTTAAAGGAGACAACCAATTTAAGTGTAATTAGATTTATAGAAAATAACCATTTGTATCTTTAAATAGGTTTATAAAACTATGAAAATATGTTACATCATTAATCTAAAATTTATATCTATACCTAATATTAAAGGCAACATATCAGGTGCAAATCAACTAACTTCTGTAAACTTTGGAACTATTAATCGTGATCACCTGGATGTTGATCCAATGGATGGGGTGAGGGGCTTAAGCGCAAAAAAAAGGCCGGTGGTGGGGGTTTAAGCGCAAAAAATCACACCTCTCACCTTATTCATTGGATCAAGATTCAGTGATCCACGATCGGTAGTTTCAATTTTGCATGATTAGTTGGTTTTCACATGATACGCTACCAATATTAAAAGTTGAAATAGTTTTTCTATCTGACTTCTTTTATTTTCCATAATGTCCTTAGGCACCCATCAATGACCTAGACTCAGGAGTCACGACTCATGTTCATATGTGTCAGAAAAACACATGTCTAGCCCCACAATGCAGAAGCCAATTCTAAAAATATATTGAAACCGATGACACGATATGAAATTTGATTTCAAGACGTATTGGAAGATGGCGTGACTTTTACGTAAATCTCCAATCTCGAGTCATCCGTAACCGCATTCAAACTATAAAACCATATGTGCAATTGTAACATATGTATATATTTGTTAGATACTTATTCGATACCATAAATATTATTACCTTTTGTATATATTTGATCAAAATTTAAGATGGTTGACTACTCAAAAAATGAGACGACACTTCATCTCTTTATAATATCGCTAGCAAAAAGCAGGTTTCGGTTGCTCAAGTCTTAGTTTTGGACCACTTAATCTTATGTTCCGTAGAGCACTCATTGGTGATAAGCTAGCAAATGGAATGTGTTGGGCTTAAAAGTAGCATTTGTGCAATTAGATGACCAACAAGATTTGATTAAATGGAATCTCAATAACAAAGGTTCTTTTTTACAGTACAGTCAATGTAAAAAAACATTTAGTAAACTAAATTGTGCTTCCTATTCATAAGGCCAGTTGGAAGTTAAAATTGTTGTTTAAAATTAAGATTTTCATTTGGTTCTTTATGAAAGAGGCAGTTTGACTAAAGATTATTTTATCAAGAAGAATTGGAAAGGTGTTGAAAGATGTTGTTTTTGTAACAAGATGTGCCACATGACAATAACAACATCTTGTTTGAGACAATAATCTTGTTTTTTATTGTCATGTGGCACATTTTTGTTTGAGAGTGGTTCAGGTTACTTTTGGTTTACGACCACCAAGAAACACAAAAGATTTTTTTTAGGCCTTGGCAAAGACAAGTAGACTCTAAATTGTGATCCCAAGTTTGCGTGGGAATAAGTGCAATATTTGGTCAATTTGGTTGAGCCGAAATAGTGTAGTTTTGATAAAAAGAGGATTTATTCTTACTTGTAGGTTATTTTTAGGGCCATGTATTGGACACGCTTTTGGTCCATCCTTTAGAAGGAGAACGACAAGCCAACTCAAAAGTGGGCACACCGCATGTTAGAGATAGATCTTCAACAAGCATACATGCATGATTTTATTGCATTGTACTGCCTGCTCTTTGAGAGCTTGCTTTTTTCAACCAGAGACTGGACTTGTAATAACGGATGGCTAAGTGCGTAACTTAAGCAGAGGCCGGAATAAAAAAAATTCAAAAAAAAAGACAGTAGACAACCCTGCGAAGGATAACGAGCATACATGCATGTCCGGCGAAGATACCTTTGAACATCATTCTCAAAGTTTGGCATTTGCTTGATTCGTCCTCGCCTGCGCACTCTCTTTTCTGTAACAAAGCTCATACCCATTTCCTCTTTTTTTTCTGAAAAGCCCATACTATTTAATGCCTACCTCCGAAGAAAATATGTATAAAAGGACGTCTGGGTCAGAAAGCAAGAGCCTCCGTGCAAGGGTCTGCAGAGAAGGATGTCATCGGCATGAGCCTTCACTCGCCATGCAATGCAAGGAGACCATGACTCAAACCCGGAAAAAAGGAAAAAGTCTATTTTGTCTCCTTAACTTTCGTGAAAGTCACCTTTTCCTTCCTCAACTCTAAAATTAGAAATAATTTCTTCCTCATCTCTCAAAACCGATCGTGGCTTTTTTTCCTTTTCCTTTTTTATGCTTATTTCGGTTGAATCTTTAAAAATATAGTAAATCACAGAAAAATCATAAAATAAAAAATTCGAGTTGTGTTAGACTCTCTACATGAGTAGATTTACACAATGAACATATGATAGGGTATTCTTTAAAATAAAGTTTTCCCGTAACTTTATATCTATGTGTTTTCTATAATTAATTCATAGCTATAGTTTCTTCTGGTCCAATTAAGGTGAAATTTTTATGATAGATTAATCATTTCATGCTTGATATGTAGAAAAAAAATCATGCTCATTGGATCATATATGACTAACTTATTATCTATTGATTTATCTAGGTTTATCCGGATAAAACTATAACTCGATCATACATGATCCAATGAGCATGAATTTTGATACATCTCAAGCATTCAATGATTATCCCACCGTAAAAATTTCACCATAATTAGATAATGTAAACGATGGCTATGAATTAATTACGTAAAAGTTTAGATCTAAAGCTACAACAAAAACTTTATACTAAAACATACCATATCATATGTTAAGCTCGTAGATCTACTCATATGGAGTCCAACAATAATTTCATGCTCATTAGGTCATGTATGACTGAGTTATAGATTTAATTTCATTTTAAAACTATTTAACAAACATAAACCTAGATAAATCTATAATTCAATCACATGTGATCCAGTGAGCATTAAACATTTACTATAGCTCAAGCATGTAATGATTAGTCCACCATAAAATTTCATCACAATTGTACGAGAGAAACCACAACTATGAATTAATTATAGAAAGATATAGATCTAAAGTTACAATAGAAACTTTGTGCTAAAGCATAATATGTCGTATGTTCACTGTGTAGATCTAATTATGTTGAGTCCAACACAAATGGATTTTTCATTTTATGATTTTTCTGTGATTTACTATGATTTTTTAAAGATTCAGCCAAAATAAAAAAAAAGAAAAAAAAAAAGAAAAACCACAAAATGAAACAGCCATGGAGGTCAAGTGACCTGTTTTCGAGAGATGAGGGAGGAACTATTTCTAGTTTTAGAGTTGAGGGAGAAAAAACTGACTTTCGCAATGGTTGACAACCATACAGCCCAACA